AAACTCAATACAGACACCAGGGATCAAACCAGTCATCATCTTATTGTAAGGCAAGTGCACAAACCACTTCTTCCTTTGTACTCTCTCCTAAAGGACTCTCAATTTTATGTCACTTAAGTCATAACAAAATAACTGCAGAAACAGTAGTTTGAGTTTTTGGAGGAGCTCATCTTCTCAAACACAAGGTTTGGGGGTTTGATTCCCACACACCTACTCATATCCATCTACATGTCGACCCACTGTTGCGGTCTACTTAGTCCTGGTCCAGAGCCCAAAATAAACAAGGCAGTGTGTTTTTATTATTGTTATTATTAGTGTAAATTATTTAAATGCTAATGTTCAAACGTGTTCGTCCGCAGATATCGATGAATGCAGTATAAACCGTGGAGGCTGTAAGTATGGCTGCGTCAACACACTGGGGAGCTACGAGTGTACCTGTCCACCCGGGTACAAGCTGCACTGGAACAGGAAAGACTGTGTTGGTATGTTGTTGTTGTTGTACTGCCCTCGTGTGGCTCTTACACTTCATCACAACATCGTTGTCCTTCTGTTATACATCTGTGTCCGCTTCTTTTCCCCCCAGAGCTGGTTAAATGTCCTGCCGGAATACTGGCGCCTAAAGCCACACTGACGTGTAGCAAGACGGGCAAGAAAGAAAGCTGCTCTCTCACCTGTGCCTCCAAAGCTCACTACCTGGCAGGTATAACTCTCCAAACTTGAGTGCAACTTCGTAAATAACACAGATCTCTGAAAAGTCACAGTGACTGACGAGACGTTTCGTTGCAGAGTCCGACAACAGTTACTCGGTCAGTTGTGGTATTCCGATCCTCAGAGGGAAGTCTCCCGTCAGGCTGAACTCCAGCAGCAGCCAGGGCTGCATAGGTCTGCTGGGATATTACTGTCAAATACTGTGTAACGGTCTGTCGGAGTCCTGTTCTGACTCGGTCTAATCGACTCTTGTTGTCTTTGTCTGTAGAGACTTTGGCTCCGCCAGTTAAACAAACGGCATCTTTTAAAATTAAAAATGCTAAATGTCACCTGCACCCTAAAGTGACCGGCAGGACGGAGGACAGGGGCCGGACACTAGGACCAGGTCAGTTGTCATATATATATATATATTATAAATACATTTTTAAGAAATTAACTTGTACGTTTTGAACACTAAAGCAGTGCTTCTCAAACTATGGTCTACAAATCCTGGTGGTACTTTAGCTCTCTCTAGTGGTAAATAAGGGAAACTAAAACCTTTCATATACTGTTCTGATTTCATCTAAACAATGTAGGCTTCTGCTGCTGTAATTGTGTATGTAGGCCATACTGGTAGTACTTGGAGAGTGAAATACTTCATTCCCAAGTACTCTGCAAATTTCCCACAGGAAAGTTCTTGAGATTTCTTTAAGCATTTGTTAGGTAACAACGCCCTCTGCAGGTTGCAATTTGTCCTGGTGTTGAACCTTTGACTGAAGTTACATGTACGGTGTGTGTGTGCAGGAGGAGGGCAGCCCTGCAGCAACTGCCTTGTAACATTTGTCAACCTCAAATGTGACTCCTCCAAAAAGGCCAAAGGTCGGCGTGCTCGTAACCCCAGCAACAAAGAGGTGACGCGCATAACACTGGAGCTGGAGGCAGAGGTCAAACCCGGGGACACCACAGGTCAGACATTAGACAAAGATATGTGTGTGTTGACATTTACGGTACGTTTTCCAATGATTGTTTTTGTCAATACATTTTTAATTAACTTGAATTGATTTTTTTGTTTTGTTTTTGTTTTTATTGATTTACCTAAAAACCAGGCAGCTGTAATTTGAGCTGCCTGAGACAACGGATGGAGAAGCAGGTGAAGACGTACATCAAGGCACTGAAGAAGTCCATCAATCAGGAGCGTTTCCTGATCCGAGTGGCCGGTTTGGAATATGAAGTCGCCCAAAAACTTCCTCAGGCTGCTTCCATCCAGGAGAACTGTGGACCAGGCTGGGAGAGGGAAGGAGGTCGATGTGGTAAGACCTGAGAGAGGACTGGGAACGTCGTAAATCTGAACGCTAGGTCCTGCCACGAGCTAACATTAGCTTTATAAGAGTTTTGTTTTTTTGTTTTTTTTAAATAACGCTAGGTCCTGCCACGAGCTAACATGAGTTTTGTTTTTTTGTTTTTTTTAAACATGACGTTTTGCCGTACACATCCTCCGTCATTGAATCTTTTTTATTCATTTTTTTATTGTTTTACCCATGTTAGTATGAACTCCAGCAACAATGTTGCTCAACAGTGGGGTTGTGTAGTTGTAGTGTGACATTCATCCCATAAATGAGTGTTCTGTCATTAAAACGGTGCTGAACAACTGTGTCCAAAGTCCAGCCTGGGGACCAATCCCAGCACTTACTAATATTTAGCCACTCTTGTGTATTTATTTTGCTATATTTTTTTAACTTTTTTTTTAGCTTATTTATAATTATTTTGCTAGGAGTTTAGCTTTTTCCTTCTTTGATTAGTCTTTAATCTGTATATTTTCTACCTGTTTTGTTTTAAAATCTATGCTATGCTAGTTTTTTTCCTTCCTCTCCCTAAGTTGTGATTCCTAAAGCAGGTTTATTTTTTTGTTTATATTTAAATTAAACCTTACACAAAGTAAAATGACAGTTGATTTGTATGAACTAGTCCCATCACCTCTGACTGGAGCTGTTGTGAATGTTTCCCTCAGTCAGATGTGCCTCAGGGTCTTACTACCACGGAGAGCAGGAGCGATGTGTCCCGTGTCCACCGGGCACTTTCCAGGAGAAGGAGGGGCAGCTGGCCTGCGACCTCTGCCCTGGAAGCGATGGCCACGGACCCGTCGGGGCGAGAAACATCTCGTCCTGCGCAGGTATGTTACCGTGACGTTCCACGGCACCTGACTGAAGGTGGAGGGAAGTGAAAACATCTTTAAAACAGCGGCGTTAGCCTCGTATTTCCGCTAAAGGTCAGAACTGTCGTCCTTCAGGCCAGTGTTGCTCAACAGTGGGGTTGTGTAGTTGTAGTGTGACATTTATCCCATAAATGAGTGTTCTGTCATTAAAACGGTGCTGAACAACTGTGTCCAAAGTCCAGCCTGGGGACCAATCCTAGCACTTGCTTATATCTAGCCACTCTTGTGTATTTATTTTGCTATATTTTTTTAACTTTTTTTTTAGCTTATTTATAATTATTTTGCTAGGAGTTTAGCTTTTTCCTTCTTTGATTAGTCTTTAATCTGTATATTTTCTACCTGTTTTGTTTTAAAATCTATGCTATGCTAGTTTTTTTCCTTCCTCTCCCTAAGTTGTGATTCCTAAAGCAGGTTTATTTTTTTGTTTATATTTAAATTAAACCTTACACAAAGTAAAATGACAGTTGATTTGTATGAACTAGTCCCATCACCTCTGACTGGAGCTGTTGTGAATGTTTCCCTCAGTCAGATGTGCCTCAGGGTCTTACTACCACGGAGAGCAGGAGCGATGTGTCCCGTGTCCACCGGGCACTTTCCAGGAGAAGGAGGGGCAGCTGGCCTGCGACCTCTGCCCTGGAAGCGATGGCCACGGACCCGTCGGGGCGAGAAACATCTCGTCCTGCGCAGGTATGTTACCGTGAAGTTCCACGGCACCTGACTGAAGGTGGAGGGAAGTGAAAACATCTTTAAAACAGCGGCGTTAGCCTCGTATTTCCGCTAAAGGTCAGAACTGTCGTCCTTCAGGCCAGTGTCCGACAGGATCTTTCTCCAGCGATGGTTTCAAACCTTGTCAGCCGTGCCCTCAGGGCACGTACCAGCCCGACCTGGGGCGCACTCTGTGCTTCCCCTGTGGGGGAGGCCTGGGCACTAAGCGGGAAGGAGCCAGCTCCTTTCACGACTGTGAGGTCAAAGGTCAGTGATTTTGCACAGGCAGAGAAGGAGATTTTGGTGGATTTCATCAGGAACACCGTACCTGATATCGTCTCTCTTTGGTTACAGTGCAGTGTTCTCCGGGTCACTACTACAACACCACGGTGCACCGGTGTATTCGCTGCCCGGTGGGAACCTATCAGACGGAGTTCAGACAGAACTACTGCATCTCCTGTCCTGGGAACACCACCACCGACTTCGACGGAGCCACCAGTGTGTCACAGTGCAAGAGTGAGTTTGGAGCTCCACCTCCAAGTTCCACCACATGATTTGTTTGTTTTTATAAACAGCCTGAACTCTGAAGTGTTTTGTTTGTGTTAACGTCTAGACAGGCAATGCGGTGGCGAGATGGGCGAGTTTATGGGCTACATTGAGTCACCAAACTACCCTGGTAATTACCCCGCTAACGTGGAGTGTATTTGGAACATCAACCCACCCAGCAAACGCAAGATCCTAATTGTGGTTCCGGAGATTTTCTTGCCCTCTGAGGACGAGTGTGGAGACGTGTTGGTGATGAGGAAGAACTGTGAGTTTCCTCCTCCTCCTCGTTGTTGTTGTTTCTCTCTCACACGGACTGTTAGTTCAAATGCACCAAACAGGAAACAGCTTCGACAACATGTTAAGTCACCGTTGTCCCCTCTGTGTCTCTGCAAGGGTCAGCTACCTCCATCACCACCTACGAGACCTGTCAGACGTACGAGCGGCCAATCGCCTTCACCGCCCGCTCCAGGCGTCTGTGGATTAACTTCAAGTCCAATGAGGCCAACAGTGCCAGGGGCTTTCAGATCCCCTATGTGACCTATGATGGTACTGACCACTGTTGTGTTTTAGAACAGCAGTCGGGTTCTTTCTTTGTGATTTTACACGTATTTTTAAATCAACATTGTTAATTTCAAACTAGCTTTTTGCTAATATGTGTTGTAGCATCTACATTTTGACTAAGTTACAGTGTAATAATGGCGTCTTTGGATCCTTCAAC